AAATTAATTTTTTATGTGATGATCCCCTCATAAACATCACAAATTTTAACCTATAAAATCAAATGTCCACTATGCTAAGTAAATACCCTCCTCCATACAAAATATCCCCCCAGGTCTTTTGTGAAAATGTTCGGCGATAGTTACACAAAATTTTTTTACTATGAAATTGACATATCAGACTGATATGGATACTTTCTATTACGAATTAAATATGAATATGCCACAAAAAAATAAAGAAAATTTTTGTTTTTCTTGAAAATAATATCGTACCTTCGAGACCTATGATTTTAAAATGTCCAAAGCTACGGTCCATAAATACTGCGCCCGTTCCTTCATCATTGGCCTCAGCCTCCAATTACTTTACTACTTTTCTTACTATCATCAGCCCTTAGATTCCTTAGATTCGGTAGCCCCCCTATTTAACGTCACAAATGACCCACTATTGAATGTCACAGATGACCTACTATTGAATGTCACAGATGACCCACTATGGCATGTCACCAAACCCCCTCCAGGCGTGGAACAGAACTTAACGATCTTCATCGGGATTCTGACCATCGCTGAGAAGATTGAGACTAGGGAGTGCTTGCGCAAGATGTATACACACAATAACGACGCTCTGGCGCGGTATCTCAGAGTCAAGAAATCGCCCGTGACGATTAGATTTATCCTGGGACTTCCAAAGGGTGAATATGTAGATAAGTTGGAGAAAGAGTCTAAAATGTACGGGGATATTGTTATTTTGAATATCACAGAGAACATGGATCAAGGAAAGACGATGGACTATTTCAATTGGTTTGCTAAGCATGTGAGTATTCTTGTCTTGTTATGAGGCTGCGCACGTCAATAACATTCATTATTTTGAATACGCTTTAGAGGAACGATAATTATGTGGTCAAATTGGACGATGACAGTTTCATCCATCTTATTCATTACTACCGTGACCTTCAAGACTTACCGAGAGAACGTGCGTACTATGGCAATTCTCTGATTTGCGACGATAGAGTATTTATGGGAGGTATGTTTATTTCCGTTTAACATCAACGCTTCATACACTTTCTACTTTCCTAACACTCGAAATAAGGTTGGGGATACACGGTCTCCCGCGACCTCGTTATAGACATTGTTGGATCACACTGGAATCGTTCAGAAATCGAAGGCGGCGAAGACCGACAAGTGGCTTACTGGATATGTGAAGTGGCTAAGAAGAAGAAGTACATCGTGCACTATGTTGGCTTCGGGGATTTTTACCCCATCCGCGAAAATCCCATCCATAACTTTGACGAGAACCTGGACCTCCATTCCCCTGCCGAGACCATCATAATCCATCGGCTAAAGAAAATCGAGAAGTTGAAGGCCATTAAGGATTTGTACTCTGAATACGATGAATACGAAGAGGGATTGCCAAGGGTCAGAGTCATTCGGAATTCAATGGCCGCAGGCCTGAGAACAAAGGAGGAGAAATTTCAAGGATGCTGGACTCAGCTTGAGCAAAATAAAACCTTGTCTCAGATGTTGTCACAAAATTTACATATTACCTACAAGAACTGGTTCTATGAGGCATGGGGTTTTAAGGAGAGAAGTGTGTCTGTGGATTACTGAATAAAAATTTTTATACATTAATTTAATGGAAATGCGCACAGTGGGTGCTGAATTTTATAACAAAAATGTTATTATATCAAATAAAAAATGTTACTGTAACCAGCTCTGATCGACATGTTATATAAGTATTTATATTATATATAACTATTAAATTTTAATAAAATATTATTTACAAATGAAACCAAAATGTTATCAATGAAACAACAAAATTAAAGATAAAAACACTTCAAGAACTTGTACATATAAGACCATATCTCAAAGAAAAGAAATATATTTCTTTCCAACATCAGATAAATATTTTAAAGGTGTAATTATGTATGAAGGAGACATTGACTAAATGGATAAATAATTTAAAAAGTCAAAGATTATTCAAAGGACATAGATCAGTGATTGCAACTATTTTTTTGGAACCAAATCCACCTACCCATATTTCAACTATTTTTTGGAACCAAATTCACCTACTTATTAATTGTATCTATTTTATATGAAAACAAATTATATATCATATTGAAAGGCAAAATACTTCAGATATTCTTTTAACTATTAAAGATAAAATATTACCTGTAGAAAAATTTTCTGAAATATCTATACAAGAAATAAGTGGAGTTTGAAATTTAGATTTGTTACAAAAGAAAAACAATCAGAAAAAAGTTAATTTTTTCTAAAGGTAATTTATATAGTATAGTTATGAAGTTTATATACTTAATCAAATTGTGAAAAAATATTTTCATTTTCCAATTAAATCAATAGAAAAAACTTTGGATGAAATAAAGAAAATTATTTGTTTTTGTTTTTAATGTTGAAATCTGTTAAGGTCAAAATATCACTGGTAATTTTATTTTTTAGTTTATAAAGATTACTTTACAATGAAAAATTATCAAGAGAGGTCAAATGAAATTACAAATGTAACTTGTTATTATGGATGAAAATTAACTGTCACCAATATTTACAATAACTATAGCAAAATATATAATACTACAACACAATGTAAAAAAAAAAGAAATTATAATAACTAATATAACACAAGATACAGTAACATTGTAAATTTTTAATCTAATAGCAAAAATATAATAAAGTACAGTAAACCCACCTTTCTATAGTCATCCCCTATACAATTATACCATATAAATTTCCACTTATAAGTACTCTTTCATAAGGACTAATACTTAGTAATACTATTGTTAACTTTATTTCCTTAAATTTTATTATATATATTATTAGTATATTTTATTAGTTAGATTTTCTTATTTGTATTACATTTATATTAGCATTATTATTATTATTTACAAGTAACAGATGTAAATTTTTTTATAACTAATTGTAATGCAAAATTGATATCTCTAATTGACACCTCTAGTAAACATCTCTGCGCAAATGACTCATTAATAAAAATAGCTCATAGAATATTCTAGAATGTAATGGAAACTTCTAGAGCTTTCTTGAGATTAATAATTATAGTCTTATAATAAGATAGTAATTTTGTATAAATAGAGGTAGCTTTTGTCCTTAGTGAAAAGACAATTAGAACTTGATTATATTTTAAACTCGATAATAGTAATAATGTTGTACCAATATGTGGACAAGAGTCTAAAGGATAACTAATATTTTTTAACAAAATTAACTTAAACTACTTGAATAATTCTCAGAATTTCTCAAGGATCACTAAGATCAACTCAATTCAATTATTCAATAGTGAATTTGAAGGAATATTACAAGGTGAATTCTTTATTGTGTGGATTTTTAGCACATCAAATCAGCTTGTCCACTTAATAAAATATATATGCTAAAGAGTATTTATATAAAATTAACTCAGGTTTTATTAAGAATTATATGACAAATTAACAAATTAAAGATTTAATGGGAATATTTAATACAATATAACTTTATTAATAAATATAATAATAAATA